TCCCAAGCCAGTTCTTAACCATCGCGCCACTCGGCTGGCCCTAGCTGGTCTATTCTTGCTACTAGTATCATGGAACCACCAGCCTTCTTCTCTAATTGCTTACCTCCAAGAAGCCTCTATTTCTTGATTCTGTACCTTTATACCTTAATTGGTGAAAATGTTGACTAAAATGTGATTTCTGATGTGAAATATACTCTAATCAATGAAGAGAAAGAGAGAAATTGAAGTGAGGAGATAGATAGGGAGGGAGAAGGGATAAAAGAGAGAAATAGAATTCATTACTGGCTTGTGCATCCAAAGTATTTAAAAGTCAAGTAACGGACATCCTATAACAACTAGGAAAGGATGCCTCCTTAAATTTTTACATCTCAATTCCAAAGACTAAATGTTAGAACAAGCACTTCTAGAATGATGATGAATAAAAAGCATCATGCCAAAGAGATGAGAGTTGCACAAAAAGAATATCATGGCCGGGCGGGCCGAGTGGCTCATTGGTTAAGAGTTGGCTTGGGATGCCAGCTCTGAGCAGCAGGGATGCTGTTTCAGATCCCACATGAGGGCCAGTGACGCTGAGTCCTCTATAGCTAAGATGGTGAACAACAGCTTGACCTGGAGCTGGGCTGCCGTGAGTGGACGGCAGCCAGCATGAGCTGCTGTGAGCCGCCATGAGCCGCCATCCAATGGCCAGCGAGCGACTGCCTCAGCCAGGAAGAGCGCAGTGATCACAATACGAACATGGGCCGGTGAAGGGACGTCCTCCACAACTAGACTGAAGAACAAAAGGACAGCAACTTGTCTGTTCCCCTTCCCCGATTCCCCAACGCTGTTCCCCTCCAATTCCCCAATAAAATCTTTTTTTAAAAAAAAATAAGGAATACCTTGGCCTTTGGAAGCCTAGATGAATTAGAATTATAGAGAGAGTTACCCTTAAGAAATGGGAGAGAGGAGACTCAGGACCATTATTCTGTAATAGAATCCCCCTCACCCCCCGACCCCCGCTCCAACAATATAGATGAGGCATCTGCCAAGCTCCATGTCTGTGACTAGAGCTGACACAGGGTAAAATGGACCAGAATCTCATTCCCAATATTTTAATAATTTCAGTTGTACCTTTAATTTCTTTCCTCAGTTCCTGGTATATAATGGACATGCACACTTTAGTTAACTAGAGTTGAAATTTCCAAATAAAAGCAGATTTCACAATTGCTTTATTTCTTAGTAACTCTGAGATATGTTATAATAAAGATCATAGACTCTTTATTTGTTCCATTCTCATGGAAGTACATCATCCTTGGCAGAGTCTCATAATTTAAGTTTATTCATGTTCACTGAGATGTGGGGGATATATGTACTCATAGCTAAGTCATTGTAGAGAGACAAGTGTGATAGTCTTCCTTTAAGACAGGCTTGCAACAATAGGGAGGCACGAGAGGTTTAAAATAGATTTAATTATTCATATCCTGAGTGACTCCTTTCTCTTTTTTTTTTTTTAAGATTTTATTGGGGAATTGGGGAAGGGGAACAGACAAGTTGCTGTCCTTTTGTTCTTCAGTCTAGTTGTGGAGGACGTCGCTTCACTGGCCCATGTTGGTAGTATCATTGCGCTCTTCCTGGGTGAGGCAGTCGCCCGCCGGCCATTGGACGGCAGCTCACGGTAGTTTAACGAAAGCGCAAGCCAGCTGCCAGCCAGCTCCACTGCAGCCTACGCCGTCACCAGCGACTCATGGCAGCATAGCTCCAGGTTGAGCTGTTGTTCACCATCTTAGCTGTAGAGGGCGCAGCGTCACTGGCCAGCATGTGGGATCCGAACTGGGGCCCTGCTGCTGAGAACTTGTGCTCCTAAGCCAACTCTTAACTAACGCGCCACTCGGCCAGCCCATGACTCCTTTCTCTTAATTCATCCATTTAACAAGTATTTATTGAACACCTGCTAGGCTTTTGAGAATGTCAAAGATCTATTAACTCGTAGAGCTTTCACTCTCTGGGGAGTTCAATAATACAATAGTAAGCAAGTAAGTTATATAATATGTTCAGTGAGAAGTTTTATGGAAAAAATTAAAACTAAAACAAGGTTATGGGGAGCAGGAGAACTGGAGGTAGGAGACAGAGTGCAGTTTTTTTTTCTTTAATAACTAAAGATTAAAAAAAAAGTTTATTGGGGAACTGCCATGGTCATCGGTTACACATTGCTTTCATGCTGCAGTGGCATAGTTGATTCTTTTAGGGAGGGTGCAGCTCACAGTGGCCCAAGCGGGGACCGAACCGGTAACCTTGGCGTTATCAGCACCACTCTCTAACCAACTGAGCTAACTGGTCACCCCCAGAGTGCAGTTTTAAATAGGGTAGTCAGCTTAATTGAGAAGGCCCCCAAAAGGGAAAAGGCTTGTTTGTGGTCACTTGGTGAGTCACTGAATGATAGAGCAGGATTTCATCCCAGTCCTTACTCTAATGCCCATGCTCTTTATTCGAAGGGAAAGATGACTTAAGAGTGATAGGAGATCTCAAGGAGGAAATGAACTGCTCTGGTCTCCCCTCATCCGATGAGGCAATGGGTAGACCAGGAGTAGGCAGATAAAGAAATCTAGGTACCTGGCTGGAAGGTTTGGGCTGAGTACAGCTTTTACAGCAACATGTTCCAAAGCTGGAAGGACACATAACTAAGGGCAGATACAAAAGAATAGTGAATCTATAGTGGTAGTGTCTTAGAAGAGAAATATTTATATACAGCTTTCAGAGCTATTAACTGTCCCCCAAAGCATACTTTTGGAAACTGGGTTACTTAACAATGCACACAAGCACAGGGCACTTCTTGCAGGATTTATTTTGGATTTAGGTTTAAAGGTTGAAACACAAATAGAGTTTTGTTGACCTGGTCATATAAAAGCTGTCATTCAGTAAAACTTTTCCAGTGTTTGGTTTGAAAATTTCAGAAAATGTTGTAAATAATTACTCTTTCATGCACTTACTACCCAAAAGACCCTTGCATTTCAGAGGAGAGGATGTTGTTGAAAGGAAAGAGATTATCTCTGCCTAGGAATTTCTTTCACCAACAAAGGGCCCTTTATAGAAATTTTTGTTTGTGAGCCTCAGAATTAAGCATGTTGTGGCCACAATCTGGGTAAACCTAGTCAAGTGAATGAATTCTAGACAGAGAAAAAAAATGCAAAACTCATGGAATGGGTGGTCCTGAAGAAGATCATTTCTATAAAACTGATAATCCTTCTGACTTTGAATAAAAGAAAAATGAGTGTTAGATATATCTTCCTCATTTCATTGCTGAGCCATCTAAGGCCCAAATGGGTTAAGCGATTTGTCCAAGGTAACACAGGTGACACTTGAAGAGTTAACTCCGTGGCCAGGGTTTATTCTAGTTCAACAGAGTCTCATCATATGTACATTTAATTTATATAGATTTCAACTATACACATATGGCAAAAAGGAGACAAAAGTGTAAACTTTTATTTTCTTATAATTTATTATATAGTATATTATTACATATATAAAATATCACACATCCATATTGCTGTACAGGGTTATATATACAAAATCATGCTTTAAGGGTAATTTAAGAGTAAACTGTGCTTTAAGAGTAATTTAAGAAGTTTTCCAGGGGTAATTTTGGCTATAAATGACTTGCATCTCATGTAGGAATTTACAACTTAACCCCCTCCTTCTAAAAAACACTCCTCGTCTTCCATGTTTCCTCCTCCATTATACTAAAGGTCAAATCATATTCCCCAAACATGAATTTATGGTGCAAAAGCCAGATAGGATTCAGTTAAAATGTGTTATTTTTATCATAAACATCAACAAAGTAAATGGGCTCCATTGTATTTGTTTATAGGGTAGGGTTGTACCAATGTTGGAATTCAGTGGGGGGAAAAGGAGAATTTTCTTTGGGTAATTTTAATTCTCACTTCAATCAATCATCAAAAGCTCTGCAAGTGTCTGGACTGTGCCTGGCGCAGGGTTGCTCCAGTTCTGACCAGGTGCCTGTCATTCCAGAGCAGTGCTCCTACCAGTTCTGTTCTTGTCTCCACCTTACCATTCTTTCCCTCACTGATGTCTAGCTCCTCTTCAAAGCCAAACCTATAGATGGCTATACAGGGCTGATTCTTCACGATTGCTATGTATTGCTACATTAGTTATCGTTATTGTGACATTGGTTATTGGGGATGAGCAGAAAGGGATTGTGGTGGCTATGGGCATTAAAATTATTCTGGAAAAGGTTCACAGAGGAGAAAAATATGAAACAGTTTTGCAGGAGGAATGAGAAATAGTAAGACTTTGGGATAATGTGGGTTCATGTTTCTGGAAAAGAAGTTGGACTCTAGAAAGATAAACTCTCACTTATAAGTAGCAGCCTAATCTCGTTTGTTGTTTCAAGGTTATTGATATTCTGTGGAGTGACCCCAGAGGAAAAAAAGGCTGTTATCCAAACACAAGTCGAGGAGGGGGCTGCTATTTTGGACCAGATATTACTTCCAAGTTCCTTAATAAATACCGGTTGAAGATGCTCATTAGGTCTCATGAATGCAAGCCCGAAGGGTATGAAGTCTGCCATGATGGGAAGGTAAGCTAATATTGTTGGTGACAGCGTCACAGGCATCCTTCCCCCAAGTATAGTCTTTCTTCACAGGATGCGTCTTACCTCAAGGCCCGTGGGAAGATGAGTTCCCTCCTACCAAAAGACAAGGCTGTGCTTTGGTAGACAGAAGCAGGCAGCTAGGGTTCACATAGGTTGTTTGAAGGGGCCTCTCTGTCCCTCACCCTAAGAGATACTTGGCTTCTTTTCCTGATCTTCCCTAATCCCAGAGGTAGAAACTGTGACATGTGACACTAAGCACACACACAGAAAGGCTTTGTTCTTTGCTAATCGCAAGGCAGCTCTCCAGTAAGGTGGAGAACGGAGCCCTTTAAAAGGCAGCAGTGAATCTAGTTCACTGTCTCACCTTTTCCACTTTCCCTGTGCAGGGCAGAGCCACGAAACACACTTCCCTTCCACTCACTGAGTAGGTGATCTCTCTAGCAAGTCACTCGCTGTGGTCACTTGAGCTGCAGCCACTAAAGTGAAGTGTGTTATGCTCCTGCCGTGTAATGTGTCACAAGGCTAGAAGAGGTGAGGACTGAGGAACTGGTTTCTTGTCCCAAGTTATCCTAGGATGTCCCCTTTTCTAATACTAAACAGCAGTAAACAAAAAAGAATATCAAATTACGTGGCATTTCCTTCTATTTAAACACTTTTACTTTTGTTAACTCCATTAGTTTATTTGAGGCTCATACTAACAATTCTGAGATGGTTAAAGCAAGCGTTATTTAGGGTTTCTTTGTAATAAGAAAATGGAGAGAAAATAGCAGTGGTTTATCAGAAGTGACATGCTTATTAGGGCAGGACTAGGCCTAAGCTAGGTTTCCTGTCACTGCAAATGTTACCCTCTCATCCTCCACCGCTGTTCCAAGGTGGGTTCCTTCCCCACAGAGTGGTCGTGGTCCCTTATTCTAGCCACCATTTCTCTGCCCTGATAGCACTGGTTTCGTGGGGGGCCCTGAGCCCTCTAAATCATTTAGCTCTAAGCAAAAGAAAAATACTGTGATACTAGACAAGCTTTATTTTGAAAGCTCAAATATCACAAGGAAAGAAAATAATTATCCCCTTGGAAAATTAGAATTTGCAAAACCGAGCATTAAGGGGGATTTTAAGATTTGGAGCTGAAATTGTACACAGGATTGCAAGGCCATGTACTGAGGGGAGGAGGGCTAGAAGTCAGTACTTCTGGGTACACTGGTGTAAAAGCCTTGTTTCTCTCCAATGGAATCACAGGAAATCTTGTCAGACTTGGATAATTTGTATGGATTTTGAACTTTGTTTGATTTTTGGTTTTTAAAGAATTGAGCTATTTCTGACTTTATTGAAGGACATTTTGAGAACTAACTCTTTGTGAACCTGACCTTCTTTTTCTTTAATCAGGTTATCACTGTATTTTCTGCTTCCAATTATTATGAAGAAGGCAGCAATCGTGGAGCTTATATCAGGGTGGGTTATGGTATGTCCCTTCGATTTTTCCAGTACCAAGTAACTGAGGCAACGTGCTCGAGGCCTCTTTACCAAAGGTGTGTATACTCCAAGGGGAATTCTGAGCGCTGGGACTAGGGACCAAGTAGAACCAATCTATAGTGACTAAGATCAACAACTACCTACTGGTTTCTCATTGGTATAAACAAAATGGAGATAACTCCAAGACACCAAGTAGCGAATGCACTTATATTGGACACCAGGAGGAGCAATTTTTAACTCATCTCTTTAGATGGATAAAGCGGTCAGCACCTACAAATAGTCCCTAATTGAATATAAAGAAAAGAAGGTCCCCACACCAACCCAGCCTTCTCTGCCCCCCAAACAGCCCAGTCGGGTCTTGCCTCTTCCTCTCTTCTCGACCCAGAAGTGTGTATGACAAGAGTTGAGTGTGCTTCTCTGTGTGATGACATTTATGGCTTGCTTCCCTTTTCTCCCTTTGACATTATCTTTTTAAGATTTTTTCAATATAAAATGAATATGTTTACTGTTAACAAGTAAGACCAAAAAAAAAAGCTGTATAAAGAAAATGTTAATGATCTTCTCTCTCCCTGCTTCTCAATAATCCTTTTTCTCATAGGCAACTGAAATTAATAGCCTGGTGTGGACCCTTCCACCCTCTTGTCCTTGCTCCTACAAAAATAGACAAGCAGATATTCAATCACTGAATAAAAATTTTTTTGAGCACCTGCTATGTATCTGACACTATTCTAGGCACAGGTGAATAGCAATAACCAAAATAGGCAAAAGTCCTTTTCCTCATCAAATACATATCCCAGTGGGAGAAGAAAGTCAGTAAAACACCATACGTATATTTTTTTACAAAGATAGAATCACACCACATACTCTATTCTGCAGCTGATTTTTTTTCCTAAAGATTCTATCATGAACATCACTCCAAGTTAGTACGTATAGACCTAACTCATTCTTTTTAGTAGGTCCACAATATTCTGTAGTATACATATGCCATAACAGTTATGGAGTGAGTAAATTTTATTCAACTGATGGCCATCCAGATTGGTTTCAGGGATTTGCACTTAAAAACAATACTATTGAGTTGTCGGAAAAGTCATGACGTATTTTTTCTGTTTTTTGTTGCAAAAATGCGTCATGGCTTTTCCAACAACCCAATATAACAAACATTTCTCTATACATACATACATACATACATACATACATACATACATACATATATACGTTTTAGTGCTGCTTTTATATAAGATTTCAAAATGTGAGATTTTTGGATTTATATGTTTAAAATTTTGCTAGATACCCCAAGAGAGTTGTAACAATTAACAACCTGAAAAACAACATACCAGTTCTCCATATCCTCATTAGTCTCAGGTATAATAACCCTATTCTTAATTTTTGCCAAGCTGAAGGATAAAAATGGTAAACATTATGGTTTTAATTAGAATTTTTTAGACAGCTGAGTTTACCCATCTTATGTTTTTAGAAATTGCGTTTTCATCTTTTAGTATTTCCTATAAATATTATTCCCCCGCTTTATATTATTGTGTTGTAAGAGTTCTTTATATATCCTACATACATGTAACCTATTAGATATGTGATTTGTAAATAGTCTTTCCCATTCTGAGGATGTTTTTCCTTTTGTTGATTGTACAAAGTTTTTTTTTTAACTTTTTAAATTTTTATTTTATTATCATTTTTTTTAATTGGGGAATTGAGGGGATGGGAGCAGCGCTGGGGAATTGGGGGAAGGGGAACAGACAAGTTGCTGTCGTTTTGTTCTTCAGTCTAGCTGTGGAGGACATTGTTTCACTGGCCCAAGTTGGCACCATCATTGCGCTCTTCCAGGGCGAAGCACATCAGTCGCTGACTTTCTGGACTGCTGCTCACTGCGGCTGCTGGCCGCTCACGCTGGCTGCTGGCTACATACGGTAGCCCATGGTAACCCACAGCAGCAGGGGCTGCAGCCTACGCCGTCGCCGGCGACTTCCGGCAGCCCAGCTCCAGGTTGAGCTGTTGTTCAGCATCTTAGCTGTAGAGGGCAGTGTCACTGGCCCTCATATGTGGGATCCGAACCGGGGCCCTCTGGCATCCCAAGCCAACTCTTAACCATCGCGCCACTCGGCTGGCCCGATTGTACAAAGATTTTTAATTTTGATGAAATCCAGTATATCTATTTTTTTCTTTTCTTTTCTTTTTTAAAAGATTTTATTGGGGACTTGGGGGAGGGGAACAGCATTGGGGAATTGGGGAAGGGGAACAGACAAGTTGCTGTCCTTTTGTTCTTCAGTCTAGTTGTGGAGGACGTTGGTTCACTGGCCCATGTTGGTATTATCATTGCGCTCTTCCCAGGTGAGGCAGATGGGTCACCGGCCTCTGGACGGCTGGCTCTTGGCAGCTCCCACCAGCTGCTGGCAGCTCACGCTGCCTGCCGGGCCACACACAGTAGCTTACGGCAGCCCACTGCAGCAGGGGCTGCAGCCTACACTGTCGCTGGCGACTCACGGCAGCCCAGCTCCAGGTCGAGCTGTTGTTCACCATCTTAGCTGTAGAGGGTACAGCATCACTGGCCCTCATGTGGGATCCGAACCGGGGCCCTGCTGCTCAGAACTGGCGTCCCAAGCCAGCTCTTAACCAACGTGTCATTCGGCTGGCCCTCTGTTTTTTTTCTTTTTTGTTGTTTGTGCTTTTGGTGTTGTATCTAAGAAGCCATTGCCTAACCCATAGTCACAAGAATTTATTCCTGTTTTCTTCTAAGAATTTCATTGATTAAGCTTTTACAATTGGGTGTTGGGTCCATTTTGAGTTAATTTTTGTGTGTGGTGTAAGATAGGGGTCCAACTTCATTCTTTACGCGTGGACATTCAGTTGTCCTAGCACCATCAGTTGGAAAGACTATCCTTCCCCCATTTAAGTGTCTTGGCACACTTGTCAAAAATCAATTGACCATAAAGGTACAGGTTTGTTTTTGGACTTTAAATTATATAATATTGATCTATATGTCTATCCTAATGCGAGTAACACACTGTCCTGATTACTATAGCTTTTTACTAAGTTTTGAAACTGGGAAATGTGAGTTGAACTTGGTTCTTCTTTTTAAAGATAGTTTTGGTTATTCTGGGATCCTGGCATTTCCATATGAATTTTATTTTATTTTATTTCTTTTTAAAGATTTTATATTGGGGAGTTGGGGTAGGGGAACAGCGTTGGGGATTTGGGGAAGGGGAACAGACAAGTTGCTGTCCTTTGTTCTTCAGTCTAGTTGTGGAGGACGTCGCTTCACTGGCCCATGTTGGTATTGTGATCATTGCGCTCTTTCCAGGTGAGGTAGTCGCTCGCCGGCCATTGGAAGGCCACTCATGGCGGCCCACGGCAACTGCCGGCCACTCATAGTAGCTCACGGCAGCCCACTGAAGCCTCACTGCAGCCTACACTGTTGCCAGTGACTCACGGCAGCCCAGCTCCAGGTCAAGCTGTTGTTCACCATCTTAGCTGCAGAGGGCGCAGCGTCACTGGCCCTCATGTGGGATCTGAACTGGGGGCCTGCTGCTCAGAGCTGGAGTCCCAAGCCAGCTCTTAACCAACGCACCACTTGGCTGGCCCTCCATATGAATTTTAGAATCAGTTTGTCAATTTCTATAAAAATGCCAGCTGGGATTTTGATAGGGATTATTTTGAATATGTAGATCAATTTGGTAGTTCTTGCCATATTAACAATATTAAGTCTTCCAATCCATATTGTTCTATTTATTTAGATCTTCTTTTGTTTCTTTGAACCATATTTTGTGCTTTTTCAGTGTACAAGTCTTGGACTTCTTTTGTTTCTACATATTTTATTCTTTGTGGTACTATATAGTAAGTGGAATTATTTTCTTATTTTCTTTTATCATCTCTAGTATATAGAAATACAATTTATTTTTGTGTATTGTGCAATCTTGATGAACTTCTTTGCTAGTTCTAATAGTTTTTAGTGCATTCTTTGGGATTTTCTATATACAAGGTTATATTATCTGTGAATAGAAATTGTTTTACTTCTTCCTTTTCAATCTTGATGCCTTTACTTCTTTTTCTCATTTAATTGCCCTGGCTAAAATCTCCAGACCAATGTTGAATAGAAGTGGTGAGCGCAGATATCCTTGTTTTGTTCCTGACCTTAAGAGGGACACATTCAGTCTTTCACCATTGAGTATATTAGCTATGTGTTTTTTTGTAGATGCCCCTTATCAGGTTGAAAAAGTTCCCTTCTATGCCTAGTTTGTTGAGTGTTTTTATCATGAAAGAGTGTTGGGTTTTGTCAACATTTTTTCCTGCATCTATTGAGATGATAATGTGGTTTTTTGTCCTTTATTCTATTAATATGGTCTATTACATTAATTTTAGATGTTAAACAAACCTTGCATTCCTGGGATAAATTCCACTTGTTCATGGTATGTAATCCTTTTTATATGTTGCTGAATTCATTTTGCTAGTATTATGTTGAGGATTTTCCATCTGTATTCATAAGAGATATTGGTCTGTAGTTTTTTGTGATCTTTGTCTGGTTTTGGTATCAGGGTAATAATGTGTATATCATATAATGTGAGTAGTAGTCCCACCTTTTCTATTTTTTGGAAAAGTTTGTGATTGGTATACTTTAAAAAAACAACGCTTGATAGAATTCACCAGTTGAAGCCATCTGGCCCTGACCTTTTTTTATTTTATTTTTTGCAAGAAGTTGTTTGGTTACTTAGTCAATCTTTTTATTTGTTCCAGGTATGTTCAGTTTGTTTTTTAAAAAAATTTCTTCTTAGTCAATTTTGGTAGTTTGTCTTTATAAGAATTTATCCATTTCACCTAGATTATGTAATTTGTTAGTGTACAATTGTTCATAGTATTTCCTTATAATCCTTTTTATTTCTATAAGGTCAGTTGTGATGACCCCTCTTTCAGCCCTGATTTTAGAAATTTGAGTCTTCTTTCTTTTTTTTTCTTGGCCAGTCTAGCTAAAGGTTTGTCAATTTTATTGATCTTTTCAAAGAACCAATTTTTGGTTTTGTTGATTTTTTTCTATTGTTTTCCTATTCTCTATTTCATTTATTTCTCCTGTGTTCTTTATTTCCATCCTTCTGCTTGCTTTAGGTTTTAGTTTACTCTTTTTTCCCCTAGTTTTTGAAGGTAGAGATTATGTTATTGCTTTGAGATCTTTTTTAATATAGGCATTTTATAGCTATAAATTTTCCTCTGAGCACTGCTTTAGTTGCATCTTATATGTTTTGCCATGTTGTATTTTAATTTTTATTTATCTTGAAGTATTTTATAGTTTCTCTTGTGATTCCTTCTTTGAACCATTGACAATTTAGGATTGTGTTGTTTAATTTCCTCATATTTGTGATTTTCTCAAATTTCTTTGTTATTAATCTCTAATTTCCTTTGTAGTCCAAAAAGATATTTTGTATGATTTTAATCATTTTAAATCTATTGAGGCTTATGTTATGGCCTAATATAGGGCCTATTGTGGAGAATGTTCCATATGTACTTTAGAAAAATATATATTCTATTGTTGGGTGGAGTGTTTTATACATATCTGTTATATCTAGTTGGTTTATAATGCTGTTCCAGTGTTTTATATCCTTTTTTATTTTCTGCCTAGTTGTTCTATCCATTATTGAAAATAATCTATCAATATCCTCCATTATTATTGTTGAATTGTCTGTTTCTCTTCAATTGTGTCAGTTTTTGCTTCACGTAGTTTTAGGCTCTGTTGTTATGTTCATATATGTTTATAATTGTTTTATCTTCTTGACTGATTGAGCCATCCTGCCACCTGTTGGCAGCTAGTGGCAGCTCAGCTCGGGCCGGGAATTGAACCACTGTTGCTCAGAGCTCGCACATATCCCTTATCTCTAGTAACAGCTTTTGTTTTAAAGTCTGTTTTGTCTGTTTTATGGCCACTCTAACTTTCTATAGTTGCTGTTTGCATGGTGTACCATTGTCCTTTTCCTTTCAAACTCTTTGTGCCTTTGAAACTAAAGCCTGTCACCTGTAGACAACATATAGTTGGATCTTGTTTTTTTCATCCAGTCTCACAATTTCTGCTTTTTGATTTATTTAATCCATTCACATATGATGTTATTGATATGGTTGGATTTATATCTGCTATTTTGCTTTTTGGGGTGTATATGACTCATGACTACTTTGTTTCTCTGTTCCTCCTTTTATTTTTAATTTATTTTTGTAAATGGTCTGAGGTAGTTTAGCATCCAGTCCATTAATTAATTATGTTAGCACCATTTTTAAAAATTGTCATTTTCTACTGAATTGTAATAGCTCCTGTGTCGTACATATCATTGTCATACATAGTTTGCTGTATTTATGAAATCTCTATCATGTTCTACTCATGTATCTGTCTTCTCGTGTGTCAATACCTGCTGTTTTGTTTCAGTAACTTTATGGTAAATTTCAATATCTGCTATAGCAAGTCCCCCTTTATTTTCCTTGCTTTTCCAAACTGTCTTTGATATTCTCAGACATTAATTGTTCATGTGAATCTTTCAAATTAAAAAGAAAACACCAATGGTAATCCTTTGAAAATTTCACAAAACAAGCATACACATATGTGTGTGTGTGTATATATGTATATACACACACACACATACACACACACACACACACATTCACCATCTGGTAACATGGTATGTGAAGTTAGGCAATTCATTTAAAGTAGAAACTGGTTAGTGGTAACATAGCACATTAAAATGAAACAAAACAAGCCGATTTATATAACTATCCCCTAACAATTCTTTTCTTAACATAGGGTGAATACTATTGAAAGTAGTGCCATCAGGATATTAAAAGAAAGAATGATTTCACGAAAAACTGACCTCATTAATGCTTTCCAACTTCAAGACCGCAATAAATCAGGTAATAAAATTATATAATGCTTACCATTTCTTAATATACCAGGTTACATACAGATCAGTTTTCATTTTCTTTGCTTTCTTAAGATTTCAGTTCTCTATTTTTTTTTTTAGCTGAGCCATCCTGCCACCTGTTGGCAGCTCAGCAGCAGCTCAGCTCGGGCTGGGACTCGAGCCGGCCACCCTGTTGCTCAGAGCTCGCACTCTTGAGCAAGTGCTTAACCAACTGAGCCACTCGGCAGGCCCCTCATTTCTCTATTTTTAATAGCAAAGAATGATAGAGATAAAAATAAAATATAATCCATTATATGCTTGGGAAAAGGCGTATTCCTCCTTTTCGTAAGCTTCTTTCAATTAAAAAAAAACAACAACAACCCTGAATTTGACTTCTATTCTGGTAGTATGTCAGACTAGAGACTTTGATAGGCCTGCCTGTTAAAGAAACAACTAGATCCTAGAGGATACGGAATTGTACTGCATTTACCAGGCTCACAGTAAGTAAGATAAATCTCTAGACTGCATCTCCTCACCCCATGAAACTTATTTTGGACTTCTAAACTCCAGAAATGTAAGAGAATAAATTTATGTTATTTTAAGCCACTAAGTCTGTGGTCATTTGTTACAATAGCCATTGGAAACTAATACAGATGCCCTCTCTCAAGACTCTGTTCAGTATTGTACTACGGATGCTAGCCAGTGCAATAAGCCAGGTTAAATAAAGCCATAAGAATTAGAAATGAAGAAATAAAATGTTATTATATGTAGACAACATGATTGAGTATATAGAAAAGCCAAATAAATCCATAGAAAAACTCTTAGAATTGATAAGTGAATTTAGGAAGTTGTAGAGCACAAGGTCAATACACAGAAATTGATTGCATTTCCATTTGCTAGTGTATCAGTCAGAGTCTATTCTCGAGATAGAAACCACATCAGTAATTTGAACAGGGAAGCTTAATATAAAGAATTGCTAACTAGTAAAAAGTGATTAATTACTAATAGGGATACATGAGAGCTCTAAAGAATATAGGAATAGGAAGTGTAGGGAGCAGCTGCTATCTCTAAGGCTAAGAGAGAGTACCCAAGGAAGGAACAAACTTGGAAGAGTCCCCTACTCCCAAGCAAGGCTACGATTCAGACCTCATTGGAGACGTTGTGGATGGGGTGGAAGTTCATTGAGGTGTCTCAGGGCAGAGTTGGTCTGCACTAGTGGTGCAGGACTGGAGAAGATGGAGCTGCCCAATGTGGTGTCAGCAAAACTCTCTTTGGGCTAAGCACCAATGTATCTCCCACACATTACTGGCAAGGGAGGCACCCATTGTGGTGTCGGTGAAATTTACTAGACAGTGAGTACCATTGCATTTCCCACACACCTCTGGCAATCATGTTATTGCTGTAGAAACAAGAAGCAAAGCACACCAGAACCATTTTTTCTGCTACGTCTTAGAACATTCTTCCTGCACCCTCTGCTTACAAATCCTAACATGATACCAGCTGCCAAAAAAGAAATATTTACAGAGTTCAGCTCCAATATCACAACACACAGCAAAGAAGGCTAGAATTGGAGCTGAGTGGGAATAAATTAATAACTAGTATAACCAGCAACTTTTAGATAATGAAAATCTTAAAAGATACCATTCATAATATTGGGTTGTCGGAAAAGTCAGGACATATTTTTTCTGGTTTTTGTTGCAAAAATGCATCATGACTTTTCCGACAACCCAATAGAAATCAAGTACCAAGGAAGAAACCAAATGATTGATGTATGAGATTTCTAAAGTATTACTAAGAGAAGTTAAAAGGATTGCAATAAATGGGTAGGTACTACCATGTTCAAGAGCCAATGTTGTCAAGATATAAATTGAACCTGAATTGAGCTATAGGTTCAATGCACCAAAGGGTCATGTACAGAATGTTCTTCGGAGCACTGTTTATGATAGTGCCAAACTGGAAATAACCCAATGTCTCCCAACAGTAGAATGGATATATAAATTGTGAATATCCGTACCATGGAATACTATACATCAATGAAAGTGAAGTCACTACAATTAAATGGAACAACATGGCTGAATCTTAAGAAAGTGTTGAGCAAAGAAGCCAGACTTCCCCTCCAAATATATACTTTATGATTCTGTTTTATATATAGATCAAAACAGCAAAAAAGTAAACTGTAGTGTTAGAAATCAATATAGTGGCTCTCCTTAGGAAAGTAGGAGGTGATAGTAATTGTCAGGGGCCACAGGAGCCTTTTGGATATTGGCAGTGTTCTATTTCTTGTCACTGGTGGTGGTTACATAAGAATTACCTTTGTGAACTGCTCTGTGTGTGTTAAACTTCAATTAAAGAAAAAAGAAGTACGTCCTTAGCAGGTAAGCGTATGGGAAGTGGCCTTGTGGAAGTGTAAATAGATAGTTTTTCTTGGAAGCAGTTTGGCCATGTATATCAAAACCCTTAAATATATGCATATCCTTTTATCCAGCAATTTCACTTCTAGTAATGAGCCTAGGGAAATAATGAAATAGTTTCATTACCATTAAAATGATGATGTAGATATATGTTTATTAACATAGATGGATGTCCATGATTTATTGTAAGTAAAAAATCAGGTTACAATAAATATGCTTGTTGTGTGTGTGTTGCCATATATTGGGTTGTCGGAAAAGTCATGACATATTTTTTCTATGTTTTTCGTTGCAAAAATGCATCATGACTTTTCCGACAACTCAATATAGCCCATGTATATAAAACATATACTAGAGTACAATGTATATTTGGCTTTAAGAAAGATAAAAATGTATACATTTATATATATACATGTTTATAGAGACAGAAACAACACTAGAAGTAAGAACATTGTTTTCTGTTTATTCAAAATCATTTCAAATGAGCATATCTTTAATAATCAGGAAAAAATAAAGATATTTATATTTTGAAAAACTACATATAATATTAGGGGATGAAAGGATGTTAACTGGGAGAATGAGAGGTGAATAATATGCCACAATCTTAAAAGTCAAAATAATCTTTTACCCTTTATATCATTTTTTCCTTTATATCCTTTTGCAGTTTCAACTCTTCTATTATAAACATACCTTACTTTGTTAAACAGAAAAAGGAAAAAGATCGAACACCCAAAGTCTGATTGCTTACACATAATATTTTAGTAAGGGAAAGAGCTGTGGAACAACGAAGACTTTCTTTAGCCGTTTGGAGCCCCGGGGCCGAGTAGGAGAAATTGTAAAAGGGGCAGAAGGTGCCCAGGCCTCAAAACCCCAGGCTGCCCAGAAGCTCCCCAGGGGAGGTTACATTTCTTTATCAAATTATCAACCAATTAATAGACTTTTTTCTTTTCTTCTTTCTTCTTGTTCTCCTCCTCTTCCTCCTCCTCTTCCTCCTCCCTCTTCTTTTTTGTTAGGCAAACTTTCTATGAGCCAGTGGGCATTTTCCATGGAGAATGTTTTGGGGCTGAACTTACCTTGGAGATCCCTGAGTTCGCATCTGGTCACCACAGACGACGATGGAAATATTGACTACATGTCCTGCTTCTCTGATATCCACATTCAAAAACCTGTGAAAGAGGCAAGTAAAACACAGCTCCCGGTAAAATGTAGCTGGAGTGAAAACACCTTTTGGGCAAACTATTGAAGTAACTTAGTCTTTTGAAAAGTTGGGAATGGGATCATCTGATGGATGGGAGTGGCAGTCTTAGGAAAGGCCTAAGGGGATCTCCCAGGTACATTAGGGTCCGTTTAGGAAACACGTGTGTTCTAAGGATAGGTAAAAAGAAGACAAAGCTTCTGCAAGCAAATCCCTGTCAAATGTGTGATTCTCTTAAGTGCTGTTCAGCAGAAGGGCACATGTGACATCCGTTCTTTCATATAACACACCCTTTAAAATACTCAACATATTCCCTATTAAACTCAGTGTGTAGACTTACTGACATGACATCTTATACCTTAGAGACTTTTGAAGTTTAGAATCCCTTATTAAAATGGGCATACCCCAGGGGGACCCCCCCACCCCCCACCCCCAGTACTTATTAGTTAACAACTCATCAGTAGTTAGTTATAACATTGGGCTGAAAGTGAGCTGATGGGAGCTAGGACTGGGGTGACTTTTTGCAGGGGAGATGAGAAGTTAAAAGCAGAGAGAAGGGAAGTAAGAGTACAGGTGGGAGCCTCAAATATCCACAGGAAGGAGGTTTTGGGCTTCACTTAAGAGGCAATTGACCGTGGCAACCAAGCTCACAGGCCTTGGCTTCAGACAGCTGAGACTTCAATCCCACGTACCGGCTATGTGCACCTTGGGAAACTTACCTCTCTGTTCTTTAATCTGGAAAATGGACATCATAACAGTTCTGGTCCTTGGGGCTGTGTGAGGACTGAATGAAACAACTCATAGAAAAGGTCTCAGAGCAGAGCCCGGCACACAAGTTGTTCTCAGTAAATCTTGGCTATTGTTATTTACTGCTGCTTGGTTCTCTTTGGCCATGTCCCCTGAGGAGCACGGACTAGAAACACATCAGAGCACAAGTGCATGATGGTCTTCTGTCTGATTCAAGAGGGACGGGCCTCCAAGGAAGGCCTGCATTCTCAAATGTCTATGTAAATCACATACTTTAAATTAGTGATGCTGTTTTGTGCTTGTTACATTTACTATAATAGGTCTGTGTTCTTAATTCTGTATGTTTTAACACTTAAAAAATCTTTATTTTAGGTTCAGTCAGCTCTAATTGAAACTCTATACAGATACCGATCTGACTTGCAAATCATCTTTAATGTCATTGACTCTGATCACTCAGGTAAATTAACTTTGATTAGTTCACTAGCAGTAAAAAGCAAGGGCTAGTTTATTTCTCTGAAACCAAAACTCTGTTTTCATCTATTGCATTCTTTATCCAAACTTGATTTACCTTGGGAGGTGGGGGGTATTCATCTTTAATATTTTTGTTATTTTTGTTTGGCTAAAAACTATATTCAAGACCATATGGTACTATGTAAGCCTATGTATCCATTAGTCAGACAAGAATAGCTCCTTTTATAAATCACAGCACAGATGAAAAGATAAATTCATTGTCCATTGAAACATCATTGTTACTCCTGGCAATAAAAATCATTCCTAGAGTTCTGATTCTATTTATGGGACTGAGGGCTGTGAAAACTCATTTTCTGCTTAGTTTTGATGCACAATTACTTATTTTCAAACTTTAAAAAGATCATCAGATAATGTCCAACTGCAGAGATCATTGAACACCAAAAAATTAATAAAACACGGAAGGAAATTGTTGCCTATAAAAAATGGCTGAGCCATTGTTTGCAATGTTCTTACTGAGCCCCAGAGTATCTCCTTCCTCTGCTTTGCTGTTGCTGTCCTCTCTGCCCTTCTTCCGTGTCCCTCCTCCTTAAATTTTAGATCTCGTAACTTCTATACCACATATAGTCCCACAGTCCACAACCCCCACCCCTCGCCCTAATTCCTTCACTGTTTGCTCATTTCAGCTTTTAAATAACCTCAGGATCACTTGGTAGTTTAAAGTAACATATTGTTTCTTATATTTGCAATCTTTTCCATTTTCTTCAGTGTCTTGATGGTCAGGCATATTAATGAGCTTCTAAATTGGGACTATTCAATCTGTATGGGTTGCCTACCCCTCCCTTAGGTGGGTCATAAAATGAAGACTCACAGCCTTCTCCTGTACTCTTTTAGGTCTGATCTCCATGGAAGAATTTCATTCCATGTGGAATCTTTTCAATAGTCACTACCATGTTCATTTTGATGATTACCAAGTTGATGAACTCGCTGAAAGAATGGACTTAAACAAAGATGGAAGCATCGACTTTAATGAGTTTTTAAAAGCTTTCTATGTAGTGCATAAATTTGATAAGTTGAGCAAGTCAGACACCACACTTACTTAAAAATTAGGGCTTTTCCCTCCTCCTTGTAAACAATCACTAACACAGTCTTCCCAGGACCCTTAAAATTCATAGTAGTAGAGAAAAGTACACCCCAATTTGTGCCATAAGCAGATGTATAGTGTGGGTATTGGAAGTCCCTAGTAAGCTGTTACTGGTAAGATTAGGTTAAATGTCAGCTGATAGATTTGGTTCCAGTGGCGGGACGACATTTCTAGGTAGAAACTGGGTTAGAGCCTAATATTGGTCTCTTGGACACCACCTAACCAGGAGACCAGAGCAGTTTGGAAACATAAAAGAACCCACAGAACACCAGAGGAAAGTACACCATCTGTGAGTGGCTGAAAGATAGGAGGAGGAATACCAAACTACTAATGGAATAAAATATTATCATCTTTCAAATGTAATCTTCTTTGGTGATGTTATAAACCAGTGATTCTCAATTGTAAGGGTACCAGTCTCCAGAGATGGGGGCCATATCAGACTCTTGGGGGGAAGCTGCGGGAGTGTGTTATTTGAAAAAGCATATTTTCTTGTCTGTTGGAGATACAAAGAGAATAGTGAATACATTCAGATTGAGCCCTACAATTAATGTGGTTTGACACCTTCATTGATAAGATGGGGCCTTGGTTATGCATACATTGTACAATTTATTCTATTTCGATTGCATATCAAACATAATAGATTTCTGTTTAAAGGCAAATATATTTTAATTTTTCTCTAAGTTTGAGAATTTCAAGATCTACCAATATGCCAGGGTAGATGTCCTGTAACCCTGCCTGCTATACGCACCGGAAATAATGACTAAAATATAACAAATATTTTTTTAAATGTATAGCTGAGCTTGCAGGAAAGTACAAGAAACCCTTATGGGGCAGGAGAAAAAGAGCATAATTAAAATCATAGCAATATTAACATTGGACAGCATAGACTTGAAGGAGAAGAACATCATTAGGGATAAAATAGTCATTACTGAATGCTAAAAGGAATTCACCAGGAAGATATAATAATTATAAACATATATGCATCTAATAATGAAGCTTTAAATTTATAATGCAGCCTTGACACAACTTCTAGGAGAAATTGATAGAGGGAGATTTTGAATATACTTCTGTCAGTAAATAAAAAATTAGTGTATAGAAGATTGGACAACCCAGTTAATCCATCTGATGATGTGTGTATCTATATGTGTATACTCTACACCACATTCTTTTCAAACACACATGGAACATTTATAAATAAAAATTGATCATGTATTAGACCACAAAGATATCTCAAATACCAAGCAATCAATAACAAAGATACTACAGGGCCGGCTGAGTGGCACATTGGTTAAGAGCTGGCTTGGGACGCCAGAGGGCCCCAGTTCGGATCCCACATGTGAGGGCCAGTGACACTGCCCTCCACAGCTAAGATGCTGAACAACAGCTCAACCTGGAGCTGGGCTGTCGTGAGTCGCCG